GAGTAGGACACTTTTGTTTTGTCCTTTTGGCTGATCAACTTGATGTCCCCCAAGTCAATTCCATGCTAGCTCATCTACTTGTGAAGATTATTCCTGTTGAATTGGAGGTTATGCATATATGTTCTACAAATTTGAAAGCTTCAAAGTCAGCACAAGTTGGACGCTTCATAAAGCAGCTCTTAGAACCCTCTCCGGACATTCTTAGAGAATATGCGATGCATCTACAAGCGCATCTGATAACTGTGTTATCACTGCAAGCACTTCAGCTCGAAACATTCATGTCATGATAGAGTTCCTATTGATTATTCTTACTGATGTGTCCAAGGACGTTATTCATTATGACAAATTGTTTGTCCTCTTGGCACACGTCGTAGCACTTACTAGGGAGGTAGCCATTCTTGTTTGCAACTTAGAGGAAAACTCAAGGAATGAAGAGAATATGAATGAAACAAGTTGTGCAAGTCTAGACTTGATGGAAAATATTGAACTCCTGAAGGAAGATCTTAGACGTGTTTTCTTGAAAGCCCCTATAGTCTCATCTCAACTATGCTTCCCCATGAGTGATGGACCACTCTTCATGACTCTTCTACTTAGAAACTTAAATGATTTGCTCAATTCAAATGCTTATTCAGTTGCTTTGATAAAAAAAAGAAATTGGGCTGATAAAAGAAAACTTAGAATTCATAAGATCATTCTTCGGAAATGTTGAGCAAGAATTGCATAGAGATCTCTGCCGAACATGCCATTAATTCAATTCTTGTCAGGGATCATGGTCTCTTGAACCTTATCTTCTTACTTCCTGTCACCGTAAAAAAGATCAAGCATTTGAAAGAAGAGGTACCACAAAAGATCTCCAAGAATAGGGGTCTTACTATTGCTAACTCTCCCAACAAGCTAGTTGAAAGCAAGTCATCAGAAAAGCTAACCGGGAAAGTTATTGTAGGTTTTGAGGAGGAGACGATAATTAGGCAGCTCACCAGCGGACCAGCAGAGCTTGATGTCCTTTCAATCATTGGTATGCCGGGAGCAGGTAAAACTACTCTAGCATACAAAGTATACAATGATAAGTCAGTTACTAGTCATTTCGATATTCGTGCGTGGTGCACAATCGACCAAGAGTATGATAGGACAAAAGGTGTTGCATAAAATTTATAATCAAGTCACTGGTTCAGATGCGAAATTTTGTGAAAATTTTGATGTTGATGATGAGCTCCTGAAAAAGCTATATGGTAGGAGGTAACTGATCGTCTTGGATGACTTGTGGGATACTGCAGCATGGGATGAGCTAACGTTTCCTTTTCAGGATCTTCAGAAAAGAAGTAGAATTATTTTAACAAGTCGAAAAAAGGAAGTGGCATTGCACGGAAAACACCACACTGTTCCTCTTAACCTTCGATTACTATGACCAGAAGAAAGTTCGGAGTTATTAGAGAAAAAAGTATTCGGAGAAGAAAGTTGCCCTGATGAACTAAAGTATGTTGGAGAAGAAATAGCCCAAAAGTGTGAAGGGCTTCCTTTGGTACTTGATCCGATCGGTGGAGTCATTGCAACGAAAGAAAAGGAACAAGCTTTGTGGCTTGAAGTTCTACATAATTTGAAATCCTTTAAGAATGAAGATGAAGTGATGAAGGTTATTCAATTAAGTTATGACCATCTATCTAATCACCTCAAGCCGTGCTTGCTTTACTTTGCAAGCTATCCAAAGGACCAAGATATTGAAATCTCTGAATTGAAAGATTTATGGAATGCCGATGGACTCGTGGAAGAGACTGAGATGAAGAGTGCGGAAGAAGTACTGGAGGTTTATGTGGATGAGTTAATATCCAGTAGCTTGGTAATAGTTTCAAATAAGAGAGGTGGCAGGAGCCCGAGTTGCCAAATTCATGTTCTTGTGCATGATTTTTGTTTGATAAAATCTAGAATGGAGAAATTGTTTGACTTCATGAGTTCAAGTGCTCCTCCTCCTCCCCCTCATCCTCCTCCAGATGTGATGCCACGTGGAATGACTATTTATTACGATCAACATCTCCATTCTGATGAAAATTTTGTGTTGTTCTATCCAGAAAAGAAAAATAATCCTTATGTTAAACACCTCGTCTCTTTGAAGGTATACAAGGTTGGTGATGTAGATTACTGTAAGCCCAATCATCTTTCTTATAGCTGTCACCTAAGACACTTGAGGCTTCTTATAAGGTTGGATCTGCACGGAATAAGTTTGACAGATTCTTTGCTGAATGAAATAGGTATGCTTGTTCATTTGAGGTTCTTAAGCATTTGGACGGAGGCAAAAGCTCTCCCTCCATCATTTTCAAACCTCTTGAATCTTGAAACTTTGGTGGTGTATACCGGGGGATCAAACATTGTACTATCACCTAGTATTTGGAGTCTTGCAAAGCTACGACATGTGAGAACGGATAGATGTTCTGTCTTTGATCTGTACATCAATGAATCAACCGTGCTAGAAGAGGACTCGAAGTTAGAGAATTTGAGGATATTATATGAGCTCCAGTTTTCAGATTTTGAAGACAGAGAGGATATTCTCAAAAGGTTTCCCAATCTTCGAAGCCTTGGATTCAAGATATTTGAGGACTCGTGGAATTGTTCAGCAATTGGTTTTCCAAGATTGGATGCCCTTAATGAGCTTGAACAAGTTTCCGCAACTGTTATTTATGTTCCGTTCGAGGAACAAACATATCAGTTTGATTTTCACTTCCCTTCGAGCTTGAACAAATTGGAGTTGAGTGGGTTTGATCTGACATCCGATTCACTGTCAAGAATTGCGAGACTACCCAACCTTCAAAACCTGACTCTAGATGGAGCAAGCATCCAGGGGGGAAAATGGAATTTGGAACAAGTCATCTTCCAGAATCTCAAATTAATCCTTAACATCGCGTTCACTGTCTTTTTCTGAATGGAAGGTTAATGGAGAGAAATCCTTTACCGTGCTCGAGGAATTACGTATACAAAGCTGTCGTCAGCTTATGGAGATTCCGGATAGTTTCGGGGATATTGCTTCTTTAAAGTCTATCTATCTGAGGTACAACCATTGTCAACTTAAAGATTCAGCCGTAAAGATAAAGGAACGTGTAGCAGAAATGACGGGAGAAGACAAGCTTGAAGTGTACTAGTGAGTTCGTACGTGAAATTTTCAAGTGTCACAAGTAAGAATACACAAGTATAAACCTGTACTATTATTTGCTATAAATAAACTGGTGCCAATGTCACATTAAGAATAAACAAGTATAAGCCTGTACACAAGTATATACTGCATTTCATTGATTTTCATTCAGGATTGGTAGTTCAGAGTTTATGATTTCTCACAGATGGGTAATTAGCCAAATTTCTGCTGTTCTTCCTGCCAATAAAATCATAATCTCTTAATCATTAACTATCCATTCTGGACGAAGCTTCTGTCCTTTTTGCCTCGTATTCATAACAATTGATAAGGAATTGAACTTCCTTTTTTTCAATTATTTTTTCTGTTACATTGTGGGATAACGAAACACGAAGGGAGAGAGACATGTTGTTTATGTGATTATCAAGTTATTGAGTCAGCTGATCACTTGTTTAGTGAATGCCCGCGGTTCCAGGAAGTCAAGCAAGGGGTGGAGCAATGTACAGGATCATAACTGCAACTAGGAAATCTGAAGGCAGTTCTGCAGTGCATTAATTAAAAAGAAGAAATGGAAGAAATTCCGAAGAGAACTGGTTGCAGCAACATGGGGAGCAATGGTTTATCACTCTTGGAAGGCGAGGAACGGGAAATGGTTTAAAGCTAAGGTACACATGTACAGGCGGCAGGAATAGTTATACAGATAAAAAGAGAGATTTTAGCTAGAGTAGACACAATTAGTTCATCAAAGGGAGCTTACAGATGTAGGAACTTAATAGAGCAGCTGCAAATGTAATTAGTTTTTCTTTGTTTTGTCTGTTGGAGGCTTGATCTTTGTATGTTTGCGAGATCAGGTGCTCTTTAAGTGTGAGGATTGTTTGTTAATGGTAATGTTTACATGCTTACCAAAAAAAAAGAAGAAACATGAAGGGAGAAAGCAGACAGTGAGAATTACACAGACATCGATTGTGTGGGCGACTCCAACCGGTACCATTAGATTGTAAGCATTCATGGAGGATGGAACATTTTGTTAAGTGAATGTGGAAAACTGCAACCAAAACTAGTGTTTAGAGCATACAGTTGGTTACTCAAATTCAAGAACAGATCAAACTAAGAGCAGCAGATTCGAGAATTGTGAGGATGATGATTATCTTGTAGAAAAATGCACAACATATTCTATCAAAATAATTTTTCAAACTGAGATAGAGAATGCTTGCAGTGGGACCTCAAACGATACTACAAAGACTTTTTGTTACTTGTTTTGGGAAAATTTGCAGTCAAATACCATTGATCTTTATTCATTCTAATTCAATTCTTAGCTATTCAGAATCACAGGCGGAGCCAAAATTTAAAGCTTATGGGTTCGGCATTCTTGCCCTTAATAATTTGTGCATATTAAATGAATTTCTTAAGACAAATACACAATTTGGACCAAAGTTATTGGGTTCAGCCGAATTTGTATCTCCAAGGCTAGCTCCGTCCCTGATTCAGACATCAAAACGTGCAATTTACTGAAGTTGCATCAGCACAAACACATCTAACATTAACATGCTTATACACTTAATTATAATATTTGTTCAAACATCATTAGCGAGATCATCAATGATTTTCTAACAAATATTATAAAACTCAAAACAAGACAAGTGGAGTTTATAATATTATAGGCCAGATCTTAAAACAAAGGACGTGTATATAATTTTCACAGTTGATCACAAAGATTAAGATGATAACGGGTATTAAAAAAACTTCAGAAGTCAGTTAATTGTATTTTAATCTTGGAATTGTTAATCTCATGCCATCTGGAGTATATAATATTATAAGCTAGCTCTCAAAACAAGGGACGTGTACATAATTTTTATAATTGATTAAAAAGACTAAGATGACAATCAGTATCAGAAAAAGAGTTTAATTCAGAAGTCAATGAATTAGTTGTCTACAATTCTCAATCTTTATTTGATTGTTCATTCTATTGGTGACCTTATAATATGTTTTTATTTAATTTAATTACTTCAACATCTCTCACATATGTTTCTGAATCCCAGAGCTTACTTTCTTCAACACTCTTCACCTGTTTCTCAAACTAGAGTTTCTTTCTAACACCTTTAATCTTGGTTTTGTTAGAACTTTAAGAGGTCAACAGGTATACTTATGTTGAATGTCTCTTATTTAATTTCCTTCTTTTGGTGTTCTTTGTGTCTTCTATTGGAAATCTAGGAGGATTTTCATTATGACTCTGTAATATTTAACGAATATAGGAGACTTACAACGTTTCTCCTTGCGGAAGGAGATCGTATGTAGTAACCACGACTCGAATTACTGGTCGTTGAGTATTCTCAAGTATAGGAGACTTACAGGTTTCTTCTTGTGAAAGGAGATGTATGTAGTGACTACTACTCGAATTACTGGTCGTTGGGAATTCTCGAGAATAGGAGACTTACAGGTTTCTCCTTGAGGAAGCAGATTGTCTGTACTAATTAATCATGACTCGAATTACTGGTCATTGGGAATTCTGAGTGTAGGAGACTTACAGGATGTCCTTGCGGAAGCAGATCCTCTGGTCTGTAGTAACCACGACTCGAATTACTGGTCGTTGGGAATTCTCGAGTATAGTAGACTTACAGGTTTCTCCTTGCGGAAGCGGACCGTCTATAGTAGCCACGACTCGAATTACTGGTTGGTCGTTGGGAATCCTCACGTGGTGAAGGATACCCCGGCTTCGACAGCCTAATTATCCCTAAGTTTGGATGCAAAGAACTAACCCTAGCAGTATCTAGTCTAGTGAAAAGCCTTCCTTTTCAACACCCGTAGTGGTGCTTAAATAGGCTAGTACGAGGGTTTTAAGAGGAGGACGTGAAAAGCCTTCCTTTTCAACACCCGTAGTGGTGCTTATATAGGCTAGTACGAGGGTTTCAGGAGGAGGACTAGCTAACATGTTAACGAGTCTTAGCACCCGTTATGAGTGGACCCGGCCCAATAGCAATTTTTGAACAGACAAAAAGATTGGAGTACAGTACTGGTATTTCTATTGTTTTGTAGTCCATCTACTCTGTACATCCCATAGTAAATTGTTTCATGCTATATGCTTTATGCTTCTTAATTCCTTCAAGTTCTTGTGTTCATTTTGCTACTGCTTTCTCTTGATAGAGGTTTATGTGTTTTTTATACATCAGATCTTGAGAAGTTGAAAGGAAGGGAAGGAAAAGCTACTTTGGCTCAACTAGTGAAGACGACATACATGGATAGAGGAAATGAAAATGAAGGAGAGAGAAAGAAAGGGGAAGGAAACAACTTTTCGGTATGTCATACAATATTTATTCGTATCACACTAATATTGACTTTATTAAACTAGTTTTAGCTTACACATTTTGCGCTCGGTGAGTATTAAAATTTTATAAATGTTACTATATAATATATATTTTATGTACAATGGCGAGTGTAATTTCGAAAGTTTTCCTAGAATTTAGTATTTGTATTTGATTTAAAGGGTGCATTTATATTTTTATATGTAAATTCTTTAGATTAAATAGTAGAATTTAAATTGGACTCCACAATTTTTGTCACGACCCCAAATCCACTAAGGATCATGATGGCACCGAACACCGCTGTCAGGCAAGCCAACCAAAATACTTAATTAAATTCTTATGTAAACAATTTCGAAAGCTCCGTTCCTTATTCAATTTTTACTAATGAAAGATACTCAGTTCAATTTAATTATGCTTGTCGAGAAGTCAATACAAAATATCCCATACTACCCAGAACCCGGTGTCACAAGTGCATGAGCAATTTCTAAGAAATAACTTAATACAACAACCGTCCGGAATACAATATTGGACAGAAAATAAATACAGTAATCTGAAAGAGACTTGCTGGCTGCGGATCGTCTCGAGAAGCGCAGCTCACCTAAGCCTCCATATCAACCATGCTGCTACGCCCATTAGGCCACTATAGATGCATGTGCCTGTGCAACAAAAATGCACAGAAGTATAGTATGTGTAACAGCCTAGGCCGCGAGTGATATTGTCCGCTCTGGGCCTGGGCCCTCACGGGTTTAAAACGCGTCACTAGGGTCTAAGGCTTGTTAACTTATATACCCAGCATCCCTCTTGTGTTTTGCCGATGTAGGACTATAGACTCTGTCTATAGTCTAGGGCGTTACATACACCCCCTCTTATGGACTCAGCATCCTCGCTGAGGTTTGCCCCACCGCATGGGATTCACCTAGACTCAGCACTGAACTCTGATCTGACCCACCATCGGCAAGGCTGACACAAGAGTGGCTCTGATACCATCTGTAACAACCCAGGCCGCGAGTGATTGTCCGCTCGCGGCCTGGGCTGTTACAGTATGAGTACGAAAATAACATATACCCAATGAGTATCCCGTCTAATCTCGAAGAAGTAGAGACGAGAGGTCGACTTCGACACTTACTAGTGGTCCAATAGTGTTATATCAATAATATATTAATTAGTGGATTTTTATGAACATGATTGTAATTCAATAAGTTGAAGCAAGTAAACAATTCTTTCTTTTATAGGAAATTTCTAAATTCTTTTTCATCATTTATACATATATTCTTAAGCCGGGAAGAGGCAATAACACAATAAATTCCAAGGCAAGCAATACAAGCATGCGCAAATCATGCCGAGGACGTACGGCCCGATCCAACAATATTTATATTGTACACTGCCAGAGGGTCGAATGGCGCGAACCATAGATGCATCTATTTAATCTACCAAGGCGTTCGACCCGTTCCAGAATTTAAATATACACAGACAGTCAATCAAGAAGTCATCAAGAAACAATTATCCAAAGAAAACCAATTCTCTTTTAACAATTTAGAAAAATGATGTTTAATTCTTTTTAGAAATTCATTTACCAATTCGACAGGATTTAAGCAATTCAACTGTAAATAACATTACAATTATTCCAAGTATAGCATGCTATTGGGTCCTAGACTACCCGAACAATAACATAATAGTAGCTACGCACGGACTCTCGTCATCTCGTGCGTACGTAGCCCCCACAAATAGGAGCACATAACCAATTAACTCACCTATGTGGACAATTCCCTCTTAAAGGTTAGAAAGGAGACTCACCTTGCTCCAAAGATCCATAACCGGAATCCACGCTCTTCCGAAGACCCGAATCAATGCTAAATGCTCCAAAACTAGCCAATAATTATGCAAATCCATTAACAGATGTTCAATTACTCATTACAATCCAATTTATAACAATTCCTAACTCCGATCAAAAAGTTGACAAAATTGCCCTCGGGCCCACGTGCCCGGATTCCTAAATTTTTCGAAGATAATCCTTACCCATAACCTCGTGAACTAAAATATATAATTTACTCTCATTTTCATACCCAAAATCGTGGTCAAATTCAAATAATATCAATTTTCTAGGTTTTCCCTCAAACCCCAACTTTTCTACAATTTTCATGTCCAAATCCGTATATAATCATGTATTTAACTCAAAACTAGCATAAATTACTTACCTCATGCTTGATGGTGAAAATGACACCTAAAAGTTGCTCCAAAATCGGCTCCAATGGAAGAAAATGGGGTTGAAATGAACTCAAGCCCCGATTTAAAAGAACCTCACTGCCTCCGGCATTTCCGCACCTGCGGTCCCTTGACCGCTTCTGCGGTTCCGCAGGTGCGAGCCACTCTACCGCTTCTGCGGTTTCCTCCAGGCTCCCCTTTTCCGCTTCTGCGCCTCATCCACCGCAGGTGCGGTCCCGCTTCTGCGGCTCCATGACCGCATCTGCGGTCTCTTCACTTCTGACCAAAACCGCATCTGCGGCTCTTCTGGCCGCTTCTGTGGCTCCTCACCTGCGGCCCAAATTTCGCAGGTGCGGTTATATCAGTAACCAGCAACTTCAGCCCTTTCAAAAATCCAATTTTCGATCTGTTAACCACCCGGAATCCACCCGAGGCCCCCCGGACCCCAACCAATCATACCAACCAGTTCCAAAACACATTAAGGACTTGCTCTAGGCCTCAAATCATATCAAACAACGCTAAAATCATGAATCGACCTCCAATCCAAGCTTTATGAACATTAGAATTTCCAACTTCTACTTTCGATGTTTAAACCCATCAAATCACGTCCGATTGACTTCAAATTTTGCACACAAGTCACATTTGACATTACGGACCTACTCCAACTTCCGGAATCAAAATCCGACCCTGATATCAAAAAGTCAACTTCCGGTCAAACTTCTCAAAAACCTTCAAATTTCTAACTTTAGCCAAATGACTCCAAAATGACATACGGACCTCCGAATTCACTTCCGATCGCACTCCCAATACCAGAATCACCATACGGAGCTACTCCCAGACTCGGAATCCCAAACGGACATTGATAACACTAAAATGCACTTCAACCCAAACTTATGAAATTTCTTCCAAAATGCTAACTTCCACAATAGGCGCCAAAACGCTCCCGGGTCATCCAAAACCCGATCCGAGCATACGCCCAAGTCTGAAATCATCATACGAACCTGCTGGAACCTTCGAATCCCAATTCCGAGGTTGTTTACTCAAAAACCCGACCTTAGCTAATTCTTTCAACTCAAAGCTTCCGAAATGAGAATTCTCTTTCCAAATCAACTCCGAACTCCCCGAAATTCAATTCCGACCACGCGTACAAGTCATAATACCTGAAGTGAAGCTGCTCATGGCCTCAGACTGCTGAACGACGCGCTAGAGCTCAAAACGACCGATCGGGTCGTTACAATCTTCATCTAAACCAAACTACTAAAAAATCAGGTTTTAGCGACGGACAAATTATGTAGCTAAACAGAAAAATCTGTCTCATTTAGCGACAGATTAGCAATGGATTATCAAGAAATTCTGCTAGCTAAGGACGTTTTAGCGACAGATTAGCGACGACATTCGTAGCTAATTCCATATTAGTTTAGGCTGAAACAAATCAAAAATAACTATAGACGTAAGAAACCTAACCTAAACAAATTAATTATGAAGTAAATAAGGAAAGAATTTATTCAAGTAAAGTCTTACTCGATTTTAAATTTCTAAATATTTGCATATTCTTACATAATTCAAATCAGAAAAAATTTAACAACCAAAATTTTAGTTGATTTCAAAATGATAAATAATTTTATTATAATTTTATCTAATGTAAAATTGATTTTTAAAGGTTAAAAAAAAAGACGAATGATATTTCACTAATTAAGGGGCGTCGTGATTTTAATATAGTATAGATAAATCCTCAAATAATAAAGCTTTTTCAAAATTTTAAGAAATATTGTTGTTCTCAAATAAGGGCTAGATGTTGTAATTAATTTTATGAATAAACAATTACGTATAAAACTAATAATAAGTAGTTGATGTGTTTGATTTTTTTTTTAAAATAACTAAAATACCATTTAAGTCGTTCGCTATAAAATAAGGTGTATACTATTTGTTGCGATATGTGCTAATTGATGAAATTGACGAAATGTTAACCAAAAGCTTGAACTGTGAAGAAGCAGTTTAGATAGTAAGATTTTATGATATTGTAGAAGTAAGAATATTTTTTTTATGCACGGCAAGTTTAGTTAGTATAAGAAGAGTGAAGTTTAGGTGAAATTAGACAGGACTAAGGTGACTAAATGCAAACAATTCAAACATCTAAGCTCGATGTTACAGGGGAATGATATGTGAGACGGATATGTTACAAGAAATAAAACTGGACTGTTCAAATGAAAAAATGCTAGTGTAGTGTTATGTGATAGAAGAAAACCTACACAAGTGAAAGACTAGTCATATAGATCAGCTATAAGACTGACAATTTTTGTTATGACAGTGAATGTTTGGACGGTAAAGTCCAATATATCCATGAGATGAGTGCCCCATGAATGTGGATGCTGAGTTAAATATGTGAATATACAAGATTAAAAATGACCACATTTGACACAAGGGGTAAGTAGCAAGATTAAAAATGACCACATTTGACAGAAGGTGTAAGTAGCATACGTTGAGGATAAAATACGAGACGGTTGCTTCATGGTTTGTTTTGTCCTATATAAATTCCAGATGTACTAGTCATTAGGTGTGAAATCATGGTGAATCAAGATATTAAAAAGGACGAGATAGACTTAATATCACATGAAAGAAAGTTGTCTCGGACTTACAATCTCTTGGAATCTATGCAGACCTAACCAAAAATAGGGTACGGTGAAAAAAAAAGGGTCGTCATAGGCAACGATACCAATTAGCCGGGATTAAGTTTTAATCATGTGAATATGTTTACTTTAGGTCTTATGTTACTTATGAGATTTTTGGTCTTGTGAGAGATTCTTATGCCAATAGAAAATATGAAGAACCTTTTAGTATATTTTTATTTTTATCTTGGGTAATATGGGGCTGAGTAGAGCTTAAATTTAACAACATGGTCAGTGATGATTCATCACTCCGATCCCAACTTCCTTGGGATTGACGCATTATTATTGTTATTGTTGTTATTTTTCATCTTACATTTCTAGTGTCAAAAACCTAGTTGTCTACCCCATATTGGATAAGAATAGTGTTCATCTTAGGCTGAAATATTCCAAACTAGGTACTAATGTTAAACTTCTCAACACAAGACTTAGCTACCATCATTTTGGCTTTCTTAGAACTAAGTGCAAAACCTGGCTTTGAAACAATTTGGTTATGATCAATGCGAAGTCATAATATATAAGCTATTAACGACAACAACAGAAAATATTAGGCTGAATTCCCATCTGATATCTCTTAGGCTAGTGTATTTGCCATCACTTCGTCAAGCTAAATTTCCTATCTAATTGATAGTCTAGTTAACGCATATCATTAGTCACTCAAATTCATAGTTTAGAGTAAAATAAGTCAGATTAATATGCGGCTTTAAATTTTGAGACTATTACATTTCGTCTTTTGGCAGGTCTCATCTTATGTGATTCGCGAGGACATTTTCAATCTTCTGGATTTTATAGAGAGGTTAAAGAACGAAGAAGATCAAATTGATGTTGACATGGATCGTATTGAAAAGCTGAAATTGGAGCTGACATATGTGTCGACATTTCCTCTGCTTTCTTATTCCAAATTGGATAGTTTTAATGCCAAAATGTCTCGGAAAGCAGAACGTGTCTTTTCTCTGGTTCAGTCGGTTTTCTATGAGAGTGGAAAACACATGCTGGTTAAATATGACATGGATCATGTCGTTCATCGCCTCTTGGAAAATATCGATAGGTATATCAGCTCACTTGGTCATCCCGAATCAAGTTCCACCATGATTGAGGAGAAGTTGGTTGAACTTTTGGACTCACTCGTCATAAATCTTCGTGATCTTCCCAATCCTTGCGCTGAGTTGATTTTGCCATTGATGACTCAATACGACGTAGTTCAACATGTATGTGGGAATATAAGAGATTTCCATGGGTTGAAAGTAAATGGTTGCATTGAGCATGAGATAGTTGATTATGTCTTACCTCAGTTTCAACTTATGGCTGAGAGAGTAGGACACTTCTGTTCTGTCCTTTTGGCATATCAACTTGATAAAATAGATGAACTTGATGATAAACTTGAAGTTCCTCAAGTAATTTCCATGCTAGCTCATCTACTTGTGGAGATTATTCCTGTCGAACTGGAGATTATGCACATATGTTCCACAAATTTTGAACGTTCAAAGTCAGCTGAAGTTGGACGCCTGGTTAAGCAGCTTCTAGAAACTTCTCCAAACATTCTTAGAGAATATCTGATTCATCTACAAGCGCACATGGTAACTGTTCTTGGTGCTAGCGCTTCAGCTCGAAACATTCATGTCATGATAGAGTTCTTGTTGATAATTCTCACCGATCTGTCCAAGGATTTTATTCGTCAAGAGAAATTGTTTGTTCTCTTGGCACGTGTTGGAGCTCTTACTAGGGAGGTATCAATTCTTGTTCGCGACTTAGAGGAGAAATCAAGGAGTGAAGAGAATACAGATGAAATAAAATGTGCAACTCTAGACTTGTTGGAAAATATTGAACTTCTGAAGGAAGAGCTCAAACATATTTACTTAAAAGCCCCTGAAGACTCATCTCAACACTGCTTCTCCAAGAGTGATGGACCACTCTTCATGAATCTTCTACTCAGAAACTTAAGTGATTTGTTCGATTCTAATGCTTATTCAGTTGCTTTGATAAAGAAAGAAATTGGGTGTGTGAAAGAAGACCTAGAATTCATAAGATCGTTCTTTGGGAATGTTGAGCAAGACTTGAATAGAGATCTTTGGACTCGCGTTCTAGATGTGGCGTATGAGGCGGAACATGCCATTAACTCAATTCTTGCTAGAGATCATGGTCTCTTGCAGCTTATCTTCTTACTTCCTGATACCGTAGAAAAGATCAAACATATCAAAGAAGAGGTACTAGAGAAGATCCCCAAGAATACGGGCATTGTTGTTGTGAACTCTCCCAAGAAGCCAGTTGAAAGCAAGTCATCAATCGCTAATAAAATAATTGTAGGCTTTGAGGAGGAGAAAGAGTGGATAATTAGGAAGCTCACCAGTGGACCAGCTGACGTAGATGTTATTTCCATAGTTGGCATGCCAGGGCTTGGAAAAACTACTTTGGCTGATAGAGTATATAATGATAAAACTGTAGTTGATCATTTTGATGTTCGTGCTTGGTGCACAATCGACCAAGAACGTAATGAGAAAAAGTTGTTGCAGAAAATTTTCAATCAAGTTATTGGTTTGAAAGACACATTCAGTGAGGATCACATAGATGATGACGTCGCTGATAAGCTACGGAAACTACTGTTTGGAATGAGGTACCTTATTGTCTTGGATGACTTGTGGGATACTGCAACATGGGATGAGCTAACAAGACCTTTTCCTGAATTTCAAAAAAGAAGTAGAATTATCTTAACAAGTCGGAAAAAGGAAGTGGCTTTGCAAGGAAAACACCACCGTGATCCTCTTTATCTTCGGTTACTCACACTAGGGGAAAGTTGGGAGTTATTAGAGAAAAGGGTATTCGGAGAAGAACGTTGTCCTGATGAACTATTGGATGTTGGAGAAGAAATAGCCCGAAAATGTGATGGGCTTCCTTTGGTACTTGATCTGATCGGTGGAGTCATTGCAAGGAAGGAAAAGACTAAGACTTTTTGGCTTGAAGTTCTAAAGAATTTGAATTCCTTTATTTTTAAGGATGAAGAGGAAGTGATGAAGGTTATACAATTAAGTTACGACCATTTATCTGATCACTTAAAACCATGTTTGATTTACCTAGCAAGCTATCCAAAGGACGAACGTATTCTAATCTCTGATTTGACAGATTTATGGAGTGCTGAAGGGCTTGTGGAACAGACTGGGATGGAGGTTTATGTGGAAGAGTTAATTTCCAGTAGCTTGGTCATAGTTCCCAATGAGAGAGGTGCATACCTGAGTTGTCAAATTCACGATCTTGTTCATGATTTTTGTTTGAAAAAAGCTAGAAAGGAAAAGTTGTTTGACTTCATAAGTTCAAGCGCTACGTCTTCTTCTTCTTCTTTTTCTTCTTCTTCTTCTTCTTCGGATCTGATGCCACGTGCAATGACTATTCATTATGATCAACATTTCCTTCATGCGGATGAAAACTTTGTCCTGTTCAATGCAGAAAAGGAAAATCCTTATGTTAAACACCTCCTCTCTTTGAAGGTATACATCAATGATAATGGCGAGTATGGGAAGCGCTATTATCTTTCCTCCAACTGTCACCTAAGACACTTGAGGCTTCTTAAAAGGTTGGAATTGCTCCAAATAATTTTGACGGATTCTTTGCTGAATGATATATGCATGCTTGTTCATTTGAGGTGGTTAAACATTCGGATGGATGCACGAGCTCTCCCTCCGCCATTTTCAAACCTTTTGAATCTAGAAACTCTGTTGGTGGATAACCGGGGATCAAACATGGTACTATCACCTAGCATTTGGAGTCTTGCAAAGCTACGACATGTGGACGTCTATACTTGTTCTTTCTTTGATTTGTTCACTGATGAACCAACAGTGTTAGAAGAGGACTCAAAGTTAGAGAATTTGAGAATATTACATTCGCTCAACCTTCCCTATTCGAATGAGGATACTTTCAAAAGGTTTCCTAATCTTCGAAGCCTTAAATTTAGCATCAGAGAACCATGGGATTGTTCATCAGAGCGGATCTCTTTTCCAAGATTGGATCTCCTTAATGAACTTGAAGAAGTTTATGCACAGTTTCATCGCTTTCCGTTCAGTAAACATGAACCTGAAGATCAGTACTGTGATTTTCACTTCCCTTTGAGCTTGAAAGAATTGGAGTTGACAAACTTTAATCTGACATCTGATTCACTGTCAAAAATCGCGAGACTACCCAACCTTCAAGATTTGTGTCTACGAATCGCAATCATCCAGGGGAAAGAATGGAACATGGAAGAATGGAACACGGAAGATGTCACATTCGAGAATCTCAAAGTGCTAACATTGTATAAGGTGTCTTTTTCTGAATGGCAGGTTGGCGAGGAATCATATCCTGTGCTCGAGAAATTGTATATACTAAACTGCCATGATCTTATGGAGATCCCGGAATGTTTTGGGGATATTGCTTCATTAAAGTCTATCACAGTGTTGGGCAACCCTCAACTAAAAGAATCAGCCCTAAAGGTTAAGGAATATGTTGCAGATATGACAGGAGAAGACAAGCTTGCAGTAATGTAGTAGTGAGTTCTTGCGCGAAATCTGGATCATCTCTGTGAGTATATAACTTGTTTATTAACTTCTTTTTGTAGATTAAGTTCCTTTTCAGTATATTTCTTTCCAATCACTTTAACCTGTATAATCTTGTTTGCAGAGTGCATATAAAGTTTGGCATTAATTTACTTTGGCCAGCACATCAACCTGTAGAGGCTTCAAATGATAGACATTTATGCCTTCTTCCAGTTGTTTCAATCCATTTCTTTTATTCCATTGTGGTTAAAAACTGATTATCAAGTGTCATTCGGACTTCTGGTAAAGTTGCTGCCATGTAACTAGGAGGTCACGGGTTCGACCCGTGGAACCAGCCTCTTGCAGAAATGCAGGGTAAGGCTGCGTCAAATAGACCCTAATGGTCGGGCCCTTCCTTGGACCCCGCGCATAGCATGAGCTTAGTGCATTGGGGCTCGGACTTCTGTTATTTCCTTTTGTTCTTTTTTGGTGAGTAAAGGTGCTAATAGACACCAAAAATATCCTGTTTGTGTTCCAAATTTGTTCTATTTCCCTTCTTAAAAGTAAGATAGCTCTGCATATGATTCTTCTATTAACGACTCTTTTTGTCATTTAAACATGTAGAAAATCTCAGATTGTAGCTTTTCCCCAGGTAGTTCTGAAACATTGCTTTGATCATTCAGAAAAACATCGGTCTTTTGGAGGTTCTAAAGTAAAAACAATCAGATGAAAGAAAGGTAATGACACTCAGTGGCAGAGCCACCTTATCCAAAGGGGTCTCAATTCATATGGAAACTTACACTGTATAGTTCGATAATTTTTATTTTATATGTATATATTACTATAAGTTGACTCCCCTTGACTTGTTCGTGTGTTTACTTATTTATATTTTGACACCCCTTAGTGAAAATTCAGGCTCCGCCACTGATGACACTTAAACTAATTCACCAAATAGCTCGCTTATCAACAGGAAAGCCACATCTGTGGTTTTGAAACTGAACACATCAAAAAGTTTCTTTGATAAATCAAAATAAGTGCAAGGATTTGCTGTAACAACAAAATGGACAACTTTTCCTTGTAATTGCTGTGCATATTCTGTTAAGTGAATGCGGAAAACTACAATTACTAGTGCTTAGAGAAGACATTTGGCTACTGGAATTCAAGTACAACGCATATAAAGAGCAGCAGGTTCAAGAAGTGCGAAGACGATAATTATCTTGTACAGAAAATTGCAGAAGAAGTTCTGTCAAAAGAATCATTGAAAATGAGAAAGAGAGTGCCTGCACTAGGACCATTCTGGGCAACACTGTAATCAAACAGTTTGAAGTGCCAGTTTTTTACTCATTTCTAACTCAATTCTTACTTATTCAGGCACTAAAACTGCAACTTACATAAATTGCATCAGCAAAACGATGCGTTTTTTCCTCTATTATTAGGATTATTAATTTTTTCACCAAATGGAAAACCTCACAGTGAGGCTCACATGAAGGAATTTGTTGACTATCTAAGATCAGTCAGAGTCATTTATACAACCATGAATTCCCAATAATAACATGAGCATGCATTGAAAACTATTGTTTCTTCTCATCTTTCTTGAGCCGAGGGTCTATCAGAAACAGCCTCTCTACCTCCCAGGGTACGGATACGGTCTGCGGACACACTACCCTCCCCAGAACCCACGTGTGGGAACCCACTGGTTTTTTTTTTTGTTGTTGTTTTTACTGACACGAGCATGCATTGAAGCAGTATCTTTTCTTTTCTTTTCCCCAAAATCAAAAGTCATATTAACAAAAACACTATGATACATCATTTTGGACCTAATTCTTGATTCATTTACATTGAATCATTGCTTTGATCATTCAGATTAACAACCCGAATTCGTGATAGATTACACAAACCAAATTGAGAATAGCAATTCAAGAATCATCATACTCCAGATATTTTTATAAGCCAATGGTCACTGCCCCTAAAATACAGAATTGAATCATTATCTCTGAACCTTGAATTATAGTTCCTATATGAAAAGTAATACTAACAAAAAGACTAAACTATCATTTTCGCGTCCTAATTAAGTCTTGAATAATTTACAGTATTTCACTAATTACCACGAACCTGAGAAAGTAATTTGAACATAAAACTTGAAGACCTAGGATCCCAATATATCCCAATTTCATCATCAACACGCAATCCACGATCATTGAACAATGGCATGCACAGTAGAGAATAATCATCATTATACATCATCTCAAAGCGAATACTTCCACTTTCATACTTCTTAGGGTCATTCTCCTCAGTTACATCCCACAAGATAACGGAAATACGGACTCCATTGACTAAACTTTTGGCCTTGCTCAAATTCCAGTAACGAAGAATGTACTCAAACGTCTCAAAAAATGGAATCTCTATCTTTCCAAAAACAACTTCGGCGCGGTTAATCCTTTTCTTGATTTGCCATGGGTTTTTCAGATCAATTTTTGGGGCAGGGTATATGTCTCTTATCTCTATTAGTTTACGAGTCGGTATCCATTGTGTATTGTTAGCTTTGCATGCTTCTTCTTCAGCTTTTGATGGTATGAATTTGTAAAAGAATGTCTTTTTCATTGTAATCTGATAAGGATTTTCTTCAGCCATTGATGGAACTGTCAATGGCTGAAGAATTGGAAGGGAGATTAAATTTGGAAATTTGGGAGAGAATTTGAGCGGGAAAAGAGAGAAAAATTATCTTTTCTTGTTAAAACTGAATTCTTGAATATACACACTTGGTGTCTATTTATAGACCGTTGCGTCGGATACTATGGTCGCCGACCTCAACTGCAAATAAGAATCAATTAAAAAAGAAAAAACAGAAAATATTTGGTTCGACTTGGTGTTAAGTGTTAACCGACAAAAAAAGGGAAAATGACAATATATAATCGATATATATATATATATATATGATATATATATATATATATATATATATATATATATATATATATATATATATATATATATATATATATACAAAAATTATATAAA